GACTGGACAAACTGGGAATTCTGGACTGGTTAAACCAGGAAATCCCATCTGGTCAAAATGGGAATTCCCGACTGGACAAACTGGGAAATCCTTCCTCATCCTCATCCTCATCCTCATCCTCATCCTCATCCTCATCCTCATCCTCATCTTCATCCTCCTGGGAATATCCACAATTATTTATAGGACTATTAAAAATTACGAGAATATTTATGGGAATATCCACCGTTATTTATGGGAATAGCCACAATTATTTATAGGAATATTCATAATTATTTATAGGAATATTCATAATTATTTATAGGAATATTCACAATTATGGGAATATCCACAATAATTTATGGGAATATCCACGTTTTTTTTATTGGAATGTCCAGAATTATGGGAATATCCACAATAATTTATGGGAATATTTACAATTATTTATGGGAATATTCACAATTATTTATAGGAATATTTATAATTATGGGAATATCCAGATTTATGGGACTATCCAGGCTCTGATGGGATGAGGGGCTCCAAACACCTCGGATTCCCGGGATTTGAGGGATTTTGGGGGGATTCGTGGGATTTTGGGGATTTTTAGGGCATTTGGGGTTTTTTGGGGGGGATTTGGAGGGATTTTGGGGAGATTTGGAAGGGATTTTGGGGGGATTTGATGGGGATTTGAAGGGATTTTTGGGATTTTTTGGCGGGATTGGGAAGAATTTTTGGGGAATTTGGGGAGATTTTGGGGGGATCTTAGGGGGGAATTGAGGGATCTTGGGGGGATTTGGGGAATTTGGGGGGATTTTGTGTGGATTTGGGGGGTTTTGTGGGGATTTGGAGGGATTTTTGGGATATTTGGGGGATTTTGGTGGGTTTGGGGGGATTTAGGGGGTTTTGGGGGGACTCTAGGGGGAATTGTGGGGTTTTCGGGGGGATTTGGGGAATTTGGGGGGGATTTTTTGTGGATTTTAGTGGTTTTTTGTAGGGATTTTGAGGGATTTTTGGGATATTTGGGGGATTTGGGGGATTTTGGGGGATTTTGGGGGTTTGGGGGATTTTAGGGGGGTATTGTGGGATTTTCGGGGGGATTTGGGGAAATTTGGGGAAATTTTGGGCGGATTTGGGGGGGATTGGGGGATTTAGGGGGATTTGGAGGGGATCTTTGAAGGGATTTAGGGGATTTTGGGGGGAATTGTGGGATTTTTCGGGGGGATTTGGGGGATTTTGGGGGGATTTAGTGTGGATTTTGGGGTTTTGGGGGGCGGTTTGCGGGGATTTGGGGGATTTTGGGGTTTTGGGGGCGGATACGTAGGGATTTTGGGGAGGATTTTAGGGGGAATTGTGGATCTTGGGGGGGATTTGGGGAATTTTGGGGGGATTTTTAGGGGGAATTGTGGGATTTTCGGGGGGATTTGGGGAATTTTGGGGGGATTTGGGCTCCAGACTTTAAAATGGGGATTTTTTTTTCCCCTGAAAAAAAAGAAACATTGGATTCCCAGGGGATGATTTTGGGGATAAAAATCATCGGCGCGATGGGATCGGGAGCAGAAATCCAGCGGGAATTTTGTCACCGAGGTGACACCGGCAAGGAGAGGAGTTTGGGGAGAAAAAATGAAAAAAAAAAAAAAAAATTAAAAAGCGAGATTTGATGTGTTTCTTTAGAAATATCCAGATTGTAGAAATTCTATCTAAAATGAAATAAATTCCAGATAAAACGGTAGGAATTCTATCTAAAATGGAATAAATTCTAGATAAAAATGATGGATAAAAATGACAGGAATTCTATCTAAAATGAAATAAATTCCAGATAAAATGATAGAAATCATGGATGAAATGATAGAAATCATCGATAAAGTGATAGAAATAATAGCTATAATACACCTAAAATGACAGAAATTCTCTCTAAAAATGATAAAAATTAGACACAAAATGACAGAAATCATCTCTGCAAGATCCAAAATTCCCTCTGAAACGGTGGGAAGCGCGCCTCAAATTACAGAAATTATATCAAAATGCCAGAAATGACGAGGGAAATTGCGGGGAAGGATCTATAAAATGATAGAAAATGATGTGTAAAACGACAGAAAACACATATCCGTGGGATGTTTCCTCGCTCCAGTGCGTTGCGATGCGCGCCGGGGGAAATCCGAGTAAATTTTTCCTTCCTCCGCTGGTGAATTTATAGGGAAAAATTTAATGGATTCCAGCGATTCCATTTCCTCCCCCTCGCGATTTATGGCCGGGAAAATGAATTTTTTATTTTGAAGACGGTGCCACCCCCTGGCTCGTCCCCTCCCCGCCCCTTTGGGGACAGAAATCCGGGTTTTTTTTCCCCCAAAGATTTAATGGATTCCAGCGTTTCTATTCCCCCTCTCGCGATTTATGGCCGGGAAAAATGAATTTTTATTTTTAAGACGGTGCCACCCCCTGGCTCGTCCCCTCCCCGCCCCTTTGGGGACAGAAATCCCGGGTTTTTTTCCCCCCAAAGCAGGGAGCGGCTCCTCTTTCAATCCTTTTATTGACTCTGCACACACCGAAACGCGCACGCCCCGGGGCCACCGTGGCCACCGGCACAAACACTTGGCTACAAGGCTACTCTACCCAAAAACACATCGAGGGGCCCCGCCGGCACCGGGGAAAGGGGATTTGGGGATTGGGGAGAGGGAATTGGGGGTTTGGGAGCGGGGAGAGGGGATTTGGGATGGGGGAGAGGGGATTTGGGATGGGGAAGAGGGGATTGGGATTAGGGAGCGGAGAGAGGGGATTTGGGATTGGGGAGAGGGAATTGGGGATTTGGGATCGGGGATTTGGGACTGGGGAGAGGGAATTGGGGATTGGGGAGCAGGGAGAGGGGATTGGGGGTTTGGGACTGGGGATTGGGGAGCGGGGAGAGAGGATTTGGGATTGGGGGTTTGGGATTGAGGGTTTGGGACCGGGGAGAGGAGATGGAGGAGAGGGGATTGGGGACTGGGGAGAGGGAATTGGGGATTTGGGATTTGGGATAGGAGAGCGGGGATGGGGAGACGGGAGCGAGGATTGGGGATCGGGGATTTGGGACTGGGGAGCGGAGATCGGGGAGAGGGAAGAGGGGATTGGGGAACATGGATTGGGGAGCAGAGATCGAGGAGCGGGGATTGAGGATTGGGGATGGGGGAACGGAGATTGGGGATCGGGGATCGGGGATTTGGGATCGAGGAGCGGCGAGCCCCGGGAGACCCCGGAGCCTCGGGGGGCCTCGGAGCTGTCCCGGTGTGCCCGGTGCTGAACGGGGAGCGCGACAGGAGCATCGGGAACGGGAGTGACAGGGACCGGGAACACCGGGACCCAGCGGGGACGGGAATTGCAGGAACCAGGGAGCAGATCCCGGGAGTGGCGGGGAGCGGAGAGCACCAATATCCATCGGGGGATGGAGAGAACCGCCCGGGAGAGGCGGGGACCGGGAATGTCGGCACCCAGCGGGGAGCACGGAGCATCTCCCGGGAGTGGCGGGGACCGAGGAACCCCGGGATCCATCGGGGAGAGAGGACAACTGCCCGGGAGCGGCAGGGACCGGGAATGTCGGCATCGGGGAAAATCGGGATGCGCCGGGGAGCAGTGGGGACACACCGGTGAGCGGCGGGGACAGCTCTGGGATGAGCGGGGACAGCTCCGGGATGAACGGGGACAGCCCCGGGATGAGCGGAGAGAGCTCCAGGATGAGCGGGGACAGCCCCGGGCTCGGCAGGAGAGAACCGGGGATCAGAGGGGACTCACCGAGCACCGAGAAGCGGCGGGGAACCGCCGGGGACTGAACCGATTCCAGCAAAGAGAATTTTGGGCTCTCGGGCTTTCTGCTTTTAGCGGTTTTTTGCTGTTTTTTTTCTTTTTTTTCGTTTCTTTCCTGGGAGGGGAAAGCGCGCCCGGGGCTGGCGGGCGGCAGAGGGAGGCGGGGGAACGGGAATCGTTGTTGTCGCCGGAGCCCGAAATGGAAACGAAATGGTGGGAGGCTCATCCCGGCGGCACCGAGCGTGCCCGGGGGCCGAGGGGCGAGCAGCAGGAGGAGGAGGAGGAAGAGGAGGAGGAGGAGAGGCGGGGATGGCTCGGGTTGTTTTTCCCCGGGCGGAGTCTCGGGGGTCTCGGGGGGCTCAGCGGGGCCGGGGCCGGTAGTTGCCGTTGATCTCCGGGGAGATGGTGACGGCCTCGGCGCCCAGGGGCAGCTNGGAGGAGGAGGAAGAGGAGGAGGAGGAGAGGCGGGGGGGGGGGGGGGTGTTGTTGCGGGGCCGGGGTCTCGGGGGTCTCGGGGGGCTCAGCGGGGCCGGGGCCGGTAGTTGCCGTTGATCTCCGGGGAGATGGTGACGGCCTCGGCGCCCAGGGGCAGCTTGTCGCTGTACTCGGAGCGCACCTCGAACTCCTCGGCGCCGCCCTTGGACTGCGACTCCGCCATGGAGCTGGCGGCTACGCTCTCCTCCCGCTCCAGCTCCGCCGCGCCTTCCCCCTCCCTCCCGCGCCGCCACCGCGCTCCTTCCTCATCCCCCGCCTCCTCCTCCTCCTCGTCCTCGGCCTCTCCGGCCTCTCCGGGCGCGAAGTTCTTCTCGGACTCGAGGTAGGAGGCGCGGGGGTCGAAGTCGGCGGCCATGCGCTTCTCCATCTGGTCGGGGTTCTGCGCCTTCATGATGAGCTTGTAGGGCTTGGCCTGGAGCTTGGCGAGCAGGTGGCACCACGTGGCTCCCAGCAGCGGCAGCGTGGCCAGCAGCAGCAGGAAGATGCTGACCACCACGATGATGATGAGCGACGGGATCTCCTTCTTGGTGGTGAACACCACCTGCACCTGGCACTCCTCGCCCGGCGAGCTCAGGCACACCGAGTAGTTGGTGCCGGGGCTCAGGCCCTGGAACCAGTACGAGTTCACGCCGGCCTCGATCTGCGACCACTGCAGCAGGGCGTGGCCCTGGCGGCCCTGCTGGCACAGGTACAGCACGCCCAGGTGGCCCCCGCCGGGCTGGGTGGGCGTGAGCTGCACTCGGGCGTCGCGCTCGGCCACGTCCAGGGCGATGACGCCCAGCTCGAAGCTGTGCTGCTTCAGGTCTCCGCTCTGGTTGAAGGCGTGGTTGGACACGTACTTGGAGCCGCCCGGAGAGGAGCCGCACGTCTTCCCCGGGACCGGCGGCTCCAGGGGGACCCGGTCCCGGCGCTCAGGCTCCGGCCCCGCCGCCGCCGAGGGCTGGCTCTGCCGGGTGGGGCCCAGCGCTTTGCCCCTCTCCTCCGGGGTCAGCACGCTGTTCTTGGCCCCCTTGGCTCCGGGTTTCTTGTCGCCCGCCTGCTTGTCCCCGCCGGGCACCAGCGGGTGTTTCTGCGCGCCCGCCACCGCCAAGCTGAGCGACGAGTGGTTGCTGCCCACCTCGTTGGTGGCCACGCAGGTGTAGGTGCCCTCCTCCCGCTTGCTGAGGCGCGGGATCACCAGGGTGCCGTTCTTGAACACGGCGAAGCGCTCGGGCTCCCGCTGCTGCTGCTGCTGCTGCGGCTCCTCCTTGGCCGCGCTCTCCGCGCCGCTCCCGCCGAGCAGCTCCAGGCTCTGGGAGCCCGTGCGGATCTTCCAGCGCACCTCGGGCGCCGGCGAGCCGCTCACGGCGCAGTGCAGGCTCAGCGTGAGCCCGTCGGGCAGCTCGGCCGCGTCCAGGCTGCTGGGCGAGTAGCTGAGCTGCACGGTGGGCGCGGCGCAGCGCAGGTCGGGCAGCCGGGCCAGCGGCACGCCCCGCAGGCGCTCGGGCAGCGCGCAGGCGATGGAGTCCTTCTCGGGGATGGAGATGAGCGTGCTCTCCATCCAGCGCTTCAGCCACTGCAGCGCGCAGGAGCACTCGAAGGGGTTGTTGTAGATCTGCAGGTGCGACAGCGAGCTCAGCGAGTCGAAGATGCCCTCGGCCAGCGTGGCGAAGCGGTTGTTGTTGATGCGCAGCGAGCGCAGGTCCTTGAGGGTGCGGAAGGCGCCCGGCGGCACCGAGGCCATGCGGTTGTTGTTCATCTTGAGCAGCTGCAGCGCGCTCAGGTTGCGCAGGTCCTGCCAGGGGAACTCGGCGATCTGGTTGTGGCTGATGTCCAGGTTCTTGAGCTGCACCAGCACGGCCAGCGCGCCGGGCTCGATGGCGGCGATCTCGTTGTGCGCCAGCCACAGCGAGCTCACCTGGGTCACCTCGGCGAAGGCGCCGCGCGGCAGCGAGCTGATCTTGTTGGCCGACAGGCTCAGGGTGGTCACGTTGGAGGGCAGCCCCGCGGGCACGGCCTGCAGCTCCTTGTAGGCGCAGTCGGCGAACTGGTGCGCGTACTTGTCCACGCAAGCGCACGGCTCCGGGCACGCCCGGCCCGAGCCCAGCAGGGCGGCCAGCAGCAGCGCCAGCAGCGGGGCCATGTCCCCCTGGCAGGGGACAGCGCGGGGCTCAGCGCCAGCGCGCCCCGGCCCCGCCCGCCGGCGGGAGGAGGAGGCGGCGGGGCCGCGCCCCATTGTCTGTGCCCGGCTCCCCCCGGCTGCTGCCCGCTGCCTCCCGCTCATCCCCTGCTCGCCCTCTCCGCCGCTTCCCTCCCCTTCTCGGGGGCTCTTCTCACTCTCTTTTTCTCCGCTCTGTCAGGTTTTTCCTTCTTTCCTTCTCCCTGGCTGGCTCTTCCCACCCTTCTCACTCTCTTTTACCCGGCTCGATCGAGGTTTTCCTTCTCCCCTTCCCAGCCGGCTCTTCTCGCCCTTTTCACTCTCTTTTTCGCGGCTCTATCAGGTTTTCCTTTCCTTCTCCCTGGCTGGATCTTCCCACCCCACTCTGTTTTCCCCGGCTCTATCAGGTTTTCCTTCTCCCCTTCTCGGGGATCTTCCCACCCTTCTCTTTTTAGCGGCTCTATCAGGCTTTTCCTTCCCCCCTTCGCAGCCGGCTCTTCTCGCCCTTCTCACTCTCTTTTTCTCCGCTCTATCAGGCTTTCCTTTCCTTCTCCCTGGCTGGCTCTTCCCACCCTTCTCACTCTCTATTTCCCGGCTCGATCGGGTTTTCCTTTCCTCCCCGTCTCGCGGCTCTTCCCACCTTTCTCACTCTCTCTTTCCTGGCTCTATCAGGCTTTTCCTTCCCCGCTTCCCCCCCCCCCCCCCCAAAACAATCAATTAATTAACCTCCATTTTTCTTCATCCTCCGCTTTCATCCCTCCTTTCCCAATTATTTCTTTCGCCTTCCTCTCCTCTCCTCTCCCTCGCTCCCTCTCTCTACTTCATCCCCGCCCGGCTCCCCGCTCTCCTGGCCGCCGCTGTCCCCCTGTCCCCCGCCACTCACCCTCTCCTAGGTGCCTCTCCGCCACCCGCAGCCCTTCCCGGCGCTCCTCATCCTCCTCCTGCCAGCCGCCCGAGGGGCGGGGGGACCGGGGGGACCCCGCCCGCTGCCCCCACGCCTGCCGGGGCTGAGCTGCGAGCGGCTCCGGGCTGCCGAGGCACAGCGAGAGGCAGCGATTTGCATTTCTGCCAGCCTCCCCCTCCGCCCGCTCGCCACCCCCTTCTCCCAGCCCACCACCCACCCCCCCCCCCACCCACCCGGCCGGCACCGCCCGCCCGCCCGCCCGCGGCCGCTCCCGCACCGCCGCTACGCCCCGAAAATGCAGAAATTAACCCCAAAAACCGCCGAGCTGTCAGCGCGGGCGATCCCCGCCGCCTTCCCGTGCCCGCTGCTCCCGATGCCGTCGGGGCGCGGCTCCCCCGTCCCGCCCGCGCATCCCGGGAGGTTGGAGGGAAAGCGGCTCGGACCTTCCGCGCCGCTGTTCCCGATCCGTGCGGGAATTCCAGCGGCGATGCCGGCCCGTGCGGGCGCCCCGTGAGGCGGGAGGGAGGACGGAGGCGGCGGCGGGGGGGGGGCGCTGCTCCCGCACCCCGCTCCAGGAGGGCTCCTCCCCTGGGAAAGCGGGATAAAGGGGAAGGAACGGCTGCACGGGGGCGGTGCTCGCCCCGAGCCCGGAGCACGAACCATCGATCTGCAGAGAGGCATCGATTCCCGGCTCGCTCCAGCCCGTGGTGTCCCCATCCTAATCCCCATCCCAATCCCAATCCCGATCCTAATCCCGATCCCAATCCTGATCCCGTTCCTAATCCCCATCCCAATCCTGATCCTGATCCCGACCCCGATTCCTCCATCCCAGCCCCTCGGCTAGAGGAGAGGCCCGGGGGGCTCGGCGGAGATTCGGGGGGGTCCAGCCACTCGTGCTGGTGTCGCCGACATGACTGAGTCGCGACAGACACAGCCCCGCCCCCAACTGTGCCTGCCGACCCCATTCCCTATGGATACAGGGATGGAGTGATAGATGGATGATGGATGGATGATGGATGGATGATGGATGATGGATGATGGATGATGAATGATGGATGATGGATGATGGATGATGGATGGATGGATGGATGGATGATGGATGGATGATGGATGATGGATGATGGATGGATGGATGGATGGATGATGGATGATGGATGATGGATGGATGATGGATGAT